TTTTTTCACAAAACAAAACATATATATATATATATATATTTAATTAAACTGTGAATAATGTATTCACTCAAATACAAAATATAATAAAATAAACATTAAGGTGCAGAATTTCGATGAATTGAAATAATCTGCACTTGATCTGAACTGTACTCGTACCTAAGCAGCCAGTTTGACATTAGGACTTGCTTGTCATTGAATTTTCATGTTTTTTTAAAGAAAGATTAACTTGTCCACGTTGCTTGCTGAAAGGGCAGATCTGCTGGCACTAACAATGTCTCCTGCTGTGGAGAACACCCTCTCTAGGGACAGAGGTAGCAGATACAGCCAGGTAGCGCTTTGCTAACATGGCAACATAAGGATATTTGGCGTTTGTAATAGCTTTGGCTCGGTCTGAACTTGTTGCGAGTGGTGGAGGCTTAAATGCTAGCGGGAGTTGGGTTCGCACTTCAGTCTTTTGGTACCGGTGATATTCAGGTTCGGGTGATGCCTTTTCAAATGAGTGTGCAAGTTTGATGTATTGTCAGCCGCGTAACCAATGTTAGTTGAACAATGCCGACAAACAGCTTTGGTTCGGTCCACCTGTCTTTGTCCGTCATCCTTGTACGTAACTGCGAAACCAAAATGTTCCCAAACCGGAGACTTCAATGATGCTGGAGGATTTTCGAGCTCAACTTTATCTGCGTTCGCCATTTCCTCAAATTACTGACTAAATTTGAACGCATCCCTCTGACCAGCTCTCACAGTATGCCTCTCGTCCAATGAAATGACTTGCTCGCTCTATGACGCGTTGAACCCAATGTGAGCAAATTACTCTGAATGCTGCGACGCAGCACCTGAGATTACTTCCAAGAAGTCGTTCACGTTCTCAATTTTTTACGTTTAACGTTATATTCGATCGGTACACACGTGTACCGAACCGAAGGTCCCGTACCGAATAATATGGTACGGGTACGTGTACCGTTACACCCCTAGCGGATAATGTAGGTGTGATTTTTAAAAGAAGTACCTCTTGGACCATCTCCTTGATGAGTTTGTTGGCAGCTTTTAGGTCATCGGGGTGCGAGCTGTTCAACAGGCGAGACAGCGTCTGATGAAAGACGCCGAAAACAATAAGTGAACAGATTTCATAGATCACAAAAAAGAGACGATAATTAAAAAAGACAGCATGTACCGTGGGAAAGAAACTGGGTTAGGTCACATTATTCTCAAGCTAGTAAGCATCTGTTATAATAACTGTGATTATTTCTTTATTTCACAGAAAAATCCTTACTTTTGACTTCTCCTCGTCCTCAAAAATCGCATTCTTGGGTCTGGGAGGAGGAAGGTTCAGGAGTTTGTCAGGCGGCAGCTCGGGGTCTTGTTTAATAATACCTGACAAACAGAATATGACAAACAAAAAGGTGTTAATCATCACTGTTGATATAAGTAGATTAAGCCATATGTGAAGAATTGTCTCGAAGCTACTCTTAAAAAGGTACTTTTTAGCTGCAACCTTTAGTTCCTTCTCACTGTGTATCAACCATGACTTCTGACGGCCGCTCACCTTGTTTCTTCAGCATCTGGTAAGCGTCTGTGATCTTGGCCTCATCAGGTAAACCCAGAGTCCAACTGAAGATCAACTCCAGAACCTTATTTTTTACCGGCTCAGGTGACCGTGAGCCCAGGTACTGAGAGGGGGGGGGGATAGAGGAGAACAAAGAAGTTATTTACAAACCAAAAAAGGGGTCTGAAAAACCTAGAAATAATAAAAGAGACACTTGTGGAATCCTACCTTTGGAGAAACTACTTTGATGAGTTCATTGAGAAAACGGAATTTGCCCACTTCACTGTGAAACCTTTTCCCACAGTCCTTCATACAGTTCTCCAGAACCTAGAGAAGAATACAATACAAAATGCTAAAACTAAATCCAATCTGATAACAACAATGTCATACTGTAAAGTGATGCATCTCCCATATATTGAATACATATTTAGACAAAAAGGTATGGCTAAATGTAGGTTTAGTTATATTACAAAACAGTAGCTAACAG